TACAAGACAACTTACGTGTAGTCAGGGCTCTGCTGTCGTTTTCTGAGACATTCCCGGATATGCACTGCGTAGCTCACACTCTTGGTCTTGAATGAAATCCAGTAGAGGGAGCAGCTCATGAACCAGAGAGAGGAGAGAACCAAAGTTCAGCTGACATGGATGACAGGTGATCCATAGGTGGTGTTTTACGTGGGCACATCGTCTGTTTGAGATACCTTGCTCCAAGTCACTTCGTTATAGAGTACAACAGACATTGACTGGAAGATATTAGAAGCCCAAACCTCGTATATGAAGTTTGAACAACGTTTGCAGGTCGATTTTCTGATTGGTCCTGGACCTGATCAACAGGTTAGGTTCCCCGAACTCAAGAAGTAGGTAGGCTGGGGATGGCCACAATCAATGGTGCTATTCCATCCATATCACAAAGACGTCTACACAATTTGAGAAAATCATTTCGAGCCAAGAACTTCAGCTTCAATACTCAACTGTAGTAAAGTTTGGCTTTTGTCCTTCTCCATTACCATAAATGGCTCATAGTGTTCCAAACAGGGGTGCACATAATAATTATCGTTGTCAAAAGCAGAAGACTTATACTGAAGTGGAAATTGAGGCTTCGGACTTATCATGCATGGTGTTTCCAAAAGAGTGATGGCTTCTCTGAAACCATCGAAAGCTAGGAGAAACTACTGTGCTATCTTATAGCACATACCTAATTCATAAGAGCATTAATACAAAAAACCGTAACCCAAAGGTTCCTTGGTAAGGCAGGTACATTCTAAGAAGAGCGGTGTCGTGGAATGGGGCATACAGCACGGCGCCTTCCTTGAAGTTTACCAACTCGACCGTTCTTCTTGTCCTTTACAAGTCTTCAAAGTTTGTTCCAAAAACAAGGAACAAGGAAAAAGACTGATCACGATTCTTCGAACTCCGCCGCAGAACTGACAACCTACCTACATTACCAAGCCACGTCTGAGGCCTAAAACGTGAACATATTTACCACCTTCCATTTTGTTCAAAACGTCTCGCTATGCCCACACCACAAGCCGAGACAGATCACCATTTTGTTCTCGAACGATTGCGGTATTTCGAGGATAAACCACGGCACGGAAGAGACGGGGCACGTTGCATATCGTCCCTGACATTGCGAATGCCAGTGTATCATTGTCCTTGAGGCTCAAGCCACGAAACGCTGCGCCGGGTCCGAGCCCACCACTTACATTACACCAATCCAACCTCTGCATCACCCAACAGGAGACTCACGAGATCAAGCGCCGAAGTTCCCCCTGTGAATCTCGCATGATAAGTCGGGGCGGCTCGTCGATGTGGACGTTGACGGTTTTTTCTTCCGTGTCTGGAGCACACGATACGGAGGAGACGGGCCGTTTCAAAAACCTCGATTCAGCAACGACCACAACATCGGAGATCTAGACTTTACTAAGAACTCTCTGACTGATTGTCACCTCATTGCCGACACTCTTACGATCGAGAGGTCATTGGTTTTGCGAATTTTATAGAGAAGAAAATCTTAGACAAGCACGCGACCAAAGCAGACCAGAAAACCTCATCTTGAAATTCACCACGAGAGCGCACCAAGATACAGCCAGGGCCCTGGCTTAGAAGTGGTGGTCAATCGGACAATGGAGGCACAGCAGGTGCAGGTGTACGGACATGGACATGGACATGAGATTAAGACGAGGAAGCGCCCTTGGCCTCGGTTCGTTGTCTCGTGTGTAGCTGTCATGCTAATTCTAGTGGTAAGTTGGGATTTCATTACGGTGTTCTTATTTCCCTGTGCTTGGTATTCACTGGGGCCATCATATCATTTTGCAGTATCATTCATACCCCGTCATCCCGCCTTTCACCCACACGACCATTTGTCTCCCCGTTGCCCCATCTTTGGCTCTCCAGCCCAGAAATCACCCGTCCGTACCGCAAGTCTAGTTTGAGCTCGGTTCATGGAGATGATGCATGGCATGGCCTGACCGACCGAAACCTTACTAGTGAGGATGCAGTTGAGGGACTTGACGATAGCATCATTTTAAACGGCTGGGGACGACTGGCAACTTTTATTTTTTATACTGGGGCCAAAGTTGGCTTATGACGGCATCCCAGTGGATATGCACGCGGGACATGAGCCTCAAGAAACAGTTATTATGGTTTATTTAGAGACCAAGCACCCTAAAAAACAAGACGTTGGAAGCAAGACACGGCCAAGTTCGGCGTATTAGCGGAGCCTCTCTGAGCTTTCTCCCCCGCACCCCGAGCACCACCGACCACACCTCCACCATCTCTCCACTTGGACGGCCTCTCCACGGCCGCCCGGCGACACTTCAATTGGGTTGGGTGCTTCAGAACCATGGGGATGGCGCCTCAATCAGGAGAAGGAAGCAACTGGAGTGAGGCTCGTGGTATTAAAAAATCCACTGCAATTCGGGCCCATTCGGCGCTCAATACCCAGTCTCAGAAACTTTGGCCCTTGTCATCACTCACGTAACGCTCCATGATCCCCAGGCCCCAGAAAACACCCCCATATCCCATCGTCATTGGTAGTTGATCAGCCACTGACACAGGTTCCGTCAGCAGCTCTCCCAGCTTGTCCTCAGTAACGGTGACGCCAAGCTCCAGCAGCACCCAAAGCTCAAATTCCCAAGAAACCTTTTGACCTCGTTGTCGTCCGCCAACACCTTAATTTCGTTTTCCTTCTCCTCCCTCCTCCAATTATTCTCTCTACGAACTCTTCACCTTTTATTCCCTCAAAACTCTCTCTCACCCCCACCACCAATCTCTTCAGCGTCCGAAGCTGTCTGCTATATCCCCGCCCTCCTCACGACTACGCCGCCCACCTCACCAGCTATCACTATGGCTCTCGCTGACGAGTCCAACCGTATCGTCCAAGAGTTCGACTTCTCCGATGAGGACCTCAACAGTCATGTGAAGGAGTTCTTGAGGCAAATGGGTATGTTTCCCCTCCTTGCTCCACGCAGAATCTGCGCCGCGGTGCTACTGTAGCTCATTGTCATGATGCTTGCGCATTTTCTCCCATTTTGGCTTTAAACCCTCAACAAAACTCGAACTCACAATTCCCTAGATGAGGGCCTTCACAAAGAGGGTACCAGCCTCCAACAAATCCCTACCTACGTCACCGGCGTTCCCAATGGCACAGAAAAGGTGATTTTTTTATTTATCCACATTGGCTCTTGAAGCTGCCCAGACTGATTCTCCCTCACTAGGGCCTGTATCTAGCCGTTGATCTGGGAGGCACAAACTTTCGAGTTTGCTCCATTATGCTTAATGGTGACACCACCTTTAACCTCACTTACAACAAGGTTGCCATTCCGAAGGAGCTTATGGTCGCAAAGACCTCCTCACAACTCTTTTCTTTCCTCGCCAAGCAGATCGAGATCTTCCTCAAGGAGCACCATGCCGACCACTTCAACTCCCACCTGCGTCGTCGCAACACTGCCAGCACTCCCTCGGGCTATCGCGATGAACATATCTTCCGCCTAGGGTTCACCTTCAGCTTCCCTGTCAAGCAGCTAGCCATTAATAAGGGTCTGCTAATTCGATGGACCAAGGGCTTTGACATTCCTGATGCCATAGGCAAGGACGTCTGCGCCCTGCTTCAGACCGAGATCGACAAGCTCCACCTCCCCGTCAAGGTTGCAGCGCTCGTGAACGACACTGTCGGCACTCTCATGGCTCGATCCTACACTTCAACCAGCAAGAGCCGATCTGTGCTCGGTGCCATCTTTGGTACTGGTACCAACGGTGCCTACATGGAAAAACTGAGCAACATCAAGAAGCCTATCTCAGGGGAGTATGATCAATCAACAGGAGAGATGGTTGTCAACACAGAATGGGGTTCTTTTGACAATCAGCTCAACGTTCTGCCATCAACACCCTGGGATAAGGCTCTTGACACCGAAAGTGTGAACCCTGGCCTTCAAATGTTCGAGAAGCGTGTCTCTGGTATGTTCTTAGGCGAGATTGTTCGACTTGCCATGGCCGATATGATCAACAACGAGAGTTCGTCTCTGTTCAAGGATCTCAACTCGAGCACGAACGACTGGGGCACCACCACAAACATCGCGCCCTCGTCTGGCTTCCTTAAGCCTTGGGGACTCGATAGCGCCATCATGTCCGTTGCGGCCGCCGACAATACCCCTGAGCTGTCTACCCTTCGCCAGGAGCTCGAGAACCTCCTCAGTGTTTATACTCCCTCACTCGAGGACGCTCAGGCTTTCAAGTCTGTTTCCAATGCTGTTGGTCGTCGCGCTGCTCGATTGTCAGCTGTCGCCATCGGCGCCATCGCCCTCAACTCTGGCAAGCTCAATGATCTCGACGAAGAGGTTATTGATATCGGTGTCGATGGCAGTCTTGTCGAGCACTACCCATTCTTCCGCGATATGATCTACGAGGCCCTCCGTGCCATTGACGGCATTGGACCCCAGGGTGCTGAGAAGATCCGAATCGGTATCGCTAAGGACGGTAGCGGTGTCGGCGCCGCCCTGATTGCCCTCGTGGCTGCTGGCAGGGAGAAGCCCGAAGATTACTTGACTGACTTGAGATCTGAGTCCAACCGCGCTCGCAAGTCTTCTGATGCGATCCGTACGTTCTACCCTCCATCCCAAGCCATTCAAACTTCGGCCTCCGCCTAAGCGATCTTTGCTAACTTTTTAATAGTCGATTCAGCGCCAGTCTCTAACCAGGCACTCCTAATTGGCGGTGCCGTCGGTCTCCTTGCGCTAGCAGCTGTATGGTATAGCAAGCGTCGATGAGCAACTACATGTTTTGGTGTTATGCGGTTTTTTGTTGAGTTGATAACTCGTGTCAAGATTTATGTATATATGTGCATGTGACGGGATGTGTTCATGTTCATTTCTGGACCCTAGGCGTTTTCTTGAATACTTTCATCCTTTTGCTGTTTTTTCTATATTCAAAAGTTGTATAATTATGAGGCAACTAGTTTTATGACAAGATAATCTGATGATTCTTATTGACTTTTCTCGGAAACAATGAATTCATCGTTGTGTTATTATTATGGTAAGTCTAATGTTTGTTGTGTCTTTTCCGGAAGCGCGTCTAGTCCATCCTAACCGTTGAAATCATATACCATCGTGAAGCAATCCATTCTTCTTAGTGCCAGCTTGTATCAAGCTCATCTTTCTCATATATGCTTTAGTTCCCGAAAGCAGCCGCAGGATATGACCTGTCCTTTTTCTTTCGTGCCGCAGAGCTACTTCTAGAGCTTGCGCCAGAGCCAGTACTTCCTCCCCGGGGCGGTGGTGCAAGACGGCTGTTAGCCATATCCTCGGGCAGATCATTCCACTCCGTCTCAGGTCGTTGATTTTGATAAGATTTACCAGATTGAGGCATGGGTGGTCTTGAGGTGCTATTTTTGGGAGGACCTGACGCTGCGTCTAAGTTGGCAATGACAGCAGTTGCGCTCGCGGGCACACTATGTTGAGGCGCAGAAGAGGAAGAAGGGATCAATTTCCGAACAGAAGCGCCAGTGGGACGGCTCACTAGCCAAGCTGAATTGGGACGCAGCTTGAGATAATAGCCCTCAATAGGTTGGTTCTCGCGCTTGAAGCCACGACCTTCATACCACTTCAGTCCCTCCTCATTCTCAGTCCAAACATGGGCCGTGACAGTTGTCACATTCAAGTTGGGGTCCGATACAGCACCTGCAATGATATTGTCCACAGCAGCGTTCACGAGACCCAGCGATCGATAAGGCGAGAGCAGACATAGCGATTGAATGTATAAATTCTGGGGCATGACTCCCTGGCTGTTGGAATCGAGGGTGGGTTCAACGCGACAGACGACACCGCCGACGACCTTGGCTTCGGAACCATCGTGAGCCCAGGTGATGACTCGGGAGAAGTGACCAGACGTGGGATCAACTGCGCGCTGGTAGAAGTTGTCGGGGTAGCTCACGGGAAGAAGAAGAGCATTGATGCGACGTAGAGCATTAACATCGTCGTTTGAGACCAGCCGGATCGTTGCTTCTTGAGGGAGGGATGTCGGAAGAGGCGGAATTTGGAACGAGGCAATCGTCGAGTCTGGCGTCTTCGAGGTTGGTGGAGGGGCCGTAGCAGCAGGCGGCGGGGAAGGCCCCGAGAGTTCTATGGAAGCTGCTTGAGAAGGCGGAGGGGCATATTTGGGTGTTTTTGCCGAGAAGAAGGATCGGATGGAGGTTTGGGCGGGTTTCGTGGACGGGAGTGACATATTAACGTGGAAGTATGTAATGTGCAGTTGGAGGTTTATCGAGGCAGGTAGAGGTTGTATGTTGTTGAGAGAGGATGGAGGTTGTTTATGAGACAGATCTCCACGAACGGTAAACAACGGAAAAGAAAACAAAAGGTTGGGAAAAGTGAGACAAACGCCCAGCCAAAACCCTAAACTATGCACTCTTCGAGTCTAAGTGTCAATACGGAGCAATGAGGATTATGCTTTCGTGGAGGTATTCAGAGGGTCGAAAAAGCATGGAAGTCTAGAGGGGATGAGGCTCTTAGGCACTAGCGCGGATCACCCAATGAATGGCATTGAAGATGAAGGAATAGCCAATCCCACGTGAGAGATCTAGATTGAAGTTGATCGCCATTCGTTAAAGGGAGCCCCTTGATGAGAATTAGATAAATTTAGCAGCATCCAGTATCTTGAAGGTACCCGCCCCTGAAAGTCGATTGACAGGTGTCGTTTGTGAGTTGTAGAATAAGGTAAGTAGGTGGTTTTGTATTAATAGATGGCACATGGGCAGCTCTAAGGATGTACAGTCCTTACTACATATACGATGAAGCGATATATTCGGTTGAAACTGATACATCATAGTAGACTGTTGTATTTTGGTCATCAACTCTCTGGGCAATCTTTGAAGCCATACGCTATGAGCTGCATTAGTGACGGTCCAAGTCAAAAGATGATCGATCGTCCCTTGCATCTGTCATGGACATCAATTAAACTTCACGCAAGCGAACCGGCTAGATCTTGATCAATCGATCTTGATGATTACCTTCCGCATCGGCATGATCAACTCGGTACCTGAATAATAACATTATCGGGCTGCGGTAAGATATTTAAATACCAACCCCTAATCTTGTCAGATTCGTTATACAGGTGGAGATGAATCCATCTCCCTTTCCGAAACTCTACGTCTCAAAATTTCAGTGGCTGATACCGACCGAGGTGAGCACTGGGCGCTGGGGCACACTGACTTCCACTGAGGCTCAGGCTCAGTCTCGGGTGGCTTCTGTCAACGTTGACTTTTATTTTTTTTGCTTCAAATCTTCCCTTTCACTTTGAACAATCGGAACCATCTCGTCATCCTTGGTTCACCGCTGGCATCAAAAATTGTCGCTACGTACTTGGGATTCTTTTGTTCTTCTTTTGAATTACTCGCGTCAGAAGCGGGCCATTTATTTCATCGCTCGGGCCGTCAATATCGATCCATCTCAAATATCTCCCGTTACCGAACGCAAACGCTGAACTGTAGTGCACTACGCTGGAAACCTCCTACACCCAAAGATTGGAGAATAGAAACTCATCAATTGTTACCTTATTCATCTCACCACTCCCCCATTGTTAACTCATTTGGTTTACTCATTGTTTCATCCGAATCAGAGTGACAATTACTCGTCATTCTTACTCATGCGCTTTAATTATTCCTCCTCTCTTACGATTAATTCTCTCACTTTCAACTTTCAATATTTTCTCCCCCAAACTCTTTCTCTTATCGCACTAGCCAGCGCCCCTACTCCGTATTCACCTCAGTAACACTACTGTACCCCAGCTGCAATTCCGTGCACACCCCCCTCCGCCCGGTAGCTGCCGTTTCGCTCCTCGGCATCATCACACGATTTCAGTTACACACCCTCCGCTTTTACAGTATTGTTCCTTACAAACTTGTCGGCCCTGGCTCGGACTCAGGATATCCGGCGACATCATGAATGCTGGCACGGGCAGGGCGGGCGTCATAAGCGCTCCAGATGATACTGCCCCGATGGATAAGTTGGTAAGTATTCGATCTCTATCTCTTTGCATGTCCACCTCCCTGCGATGCGAAATCAAACGCCGCCCGCGAGCGCCATCATGTCCTCTGTGGTGATGCTCATCTCTGCGCCCCCTATCGCGGCGCCATTGCATCGAAATTGTCGCTCACCATCTATCGGCAATGTCTTTTCTAATAAATCGCTAATACGAACCTTTCTCAGGCACATGCTGTACTAGATGATGTGCTTTACAATGTTCTGAGCGATCTATTGATGAAGACGCACCGCGAAGAGAAGACAGCCAGAGCTACCACCGCTGCCATTCGCATTGAGAAGCTGGCATCCGACGCGTCCGACAGCTCAACGCCAGACTCAAAACCGGACGTACGGATTGAGACCGACGCCGCTATATACGAGGATGGAAAAGTATTGCTGAAGGGCAATCCTCTCAAGACTACCGCTGAGATTCTATGCCCCCGATGCCATCTGCCCCGACTCCTATACCCGACGGACGGAAAAGGCGCCCAAAAACCCGACCCCGGCGTCATCTACTGCAAGAAACACCCTTATATTGATAAGCCCGGGTGCGATATCTATGGCCAGAGTTGGGTTGCGCCAGGTCCTGGTCGAGGCAAAAAGAAGAAGGATATGGAAAAGAACAATACGGATTCTCCCACTCCCGAACAACGACCACCCAATGTTCTTTCTTTCCCCTCCGCTACTTGCAGCAAATGCAAGCGTTGCATTCTTGTCACTCGACTGAATAACCATATGGGCTCATGCATCGGGAATAGTGGTCGCAATGCCAGTCGAGCTGCAGCGCAGAAGTTGAGTAATGGCGGATCTCAGAATGACACTACGCCGCCTTCATCACAAAAGGCGACACCTGCGCCAGGCTCCCGCGCCACCAGCCCGAAGAAGCGTGATGCCAGCGACGAAGAGGAAGATTCGGAGAACAGTCACAAGAAAAAGAAGCTCAAGCCTACTTCTGTCACCAAGAAGGTGATTATCAAGACGAAGCCGAGCCTCAAAAAGGACAAACCTAAGGGTCTGTCGTCCTTAAGCCAGGAGCAAAAGGCCGACTACAGCAACGGTGATTCAGTCGAGGTGGCACCCAAGAAGGTTGTGTCTAAGGGTATCAGTCCTGTTAAGAAGCTTAAGATGAACAAACCTCCGCTGGGGTCACCCAAGCCCAAGCCTAGCCTCATCCGCGAGGCAACTGGAGAGTCAGAATCCTCAGATACCCTCTCATCCCCTCCTCAGTAGACCTTGCTCGGGGATAGCATCATGAGCGATGCATCATAGGTCTTATGGCATGTTAGGCTGCACTCTTAGCGTCAGCCTGGCGTACACGCATCAATATGAATGTCATGGTTGGATACAATAGAAGCAGGCAGTACGTCACGCGACAAAGGACATCATTTGCTCATCGCTTGCTTCTCAACAACATTCACTCTACTTGTATTATCATCAATACATCATTGCATTGGACTGGCGGGTTGGATGGCTAAGGTTACCGGGACCGGATATTTGCAGCATCCACGGAAAAGGGACCGGGGCGTTTTTGGCGTAATGAGTACAACAATGGATATTTGCTAAAAATATGATCTTGAACGCGGCCTGTGCCCGTGACTGTGATTATGGTTTGTTGACTTGTAACTGTAATCCTGAACGCCAATGCTAGAGATGTCTAACCCGCCCCGCGAATGCTTTCTATTTAGACCTGCTCCTCCTCTACAACGCGAGCCTTGACAATCTTGATCTCCTCGATAGGCCTGTCCTCAGATCCAGTCTTGACCATGCCCATTCTCTTCACAGTACTCATGCCGGATTTAACTCTTCCAAAGATAGTGTGTTTACCATCAAGCCAAGGTGTCGGCGCAAGCGTGATAAAAAACTGCGATCCGTTTGTGTTGGGGCCTGCGTTGGCCATGCTCAAGATACCAGCGCCAGTGTGCTTGAGGCCCAGATCGATCTCGTCCTCGAACTTCTCGCCGTAAATAGAGCTTCCGCCGCGACCCGTTCCTGTTGGGTCACCGCCCTGGATCATGAAATTGGGGATGATGCGGTGGAAGATGGTGTTGTCGTAGTAGCCGCGACGGACAAGGGTGGTGAAGTTGTTGCAGGTCTTGGGAGCGTGGGTGGTGTAGAGCTCAAGAGTGAGCGAGCCCTGTAACTTGTCAGTAGCTGTAGGTAGTTGAAGACGAGAGGTTGTGACGTGCCATTGTGGTCTCGAGCGATATGTTCGTTGTCATGATTGCGCTGCTTTGTTGGATGTAATTTGTTTATGATGGAGGGGAAATTTATCTGCCAAAGCTAGACACAACCACCCTTAGTCAACGAACATGGAGCATTGAGGTCACTGACGGCTGGGCTATAAGATTAAGGCAAATTATGCTATACAGGACTGTCATACTATTAATTCTCGCAAGACAACTTGTATTTTTTCTTCCTGCCGTGTCAACTTTTATACTGCTTTTCCTACGTAAAATAAGGTCAGCAGCTCTATGTACCTATGTTCAACATGATGGGCGCTTTGGCGCATTTTCGACCTTGAGTTCTTGGCGTTTTTAGCACTGCGAGCTGCATGATTGGCCACTTGGGTCCCAGACAACTCTGTAAGAAAACGCAGGCCACTAAGTACCTGGCTAATCGACACATTTCAGCCCCAGAACCTTCTGTTTAGGCTCAGCTCAGTGAGCTTTTACACTTTCATCAGACGTCATTCAACGAAGATACTGCAAGTCGGGACCTTTCTTCTTCTTTTTCTTCTTTTCTTCTCTTTGTTGACCTTTTATACAGAAACATAACAAATTTTGTTTACCATTCCTTCAAGTTCCCTGCACAAAGAACAGAGTCAACGGTCGGAAAAACCACAAAATGTCATGACTGGGACCCTTAACTCGTACTTTACAGAACTTGTTCAGGCTGAGAACACGTTGCTTTCTTTCCACCATCACCATTAGCAACGTCTTCAAGTCAAACCATGGCGGAAAACGCTACAGATCCAGCCGCCCTCGAGGGCTCTTTCGATGCTCTAAATTCTACCATCACCAATGGACAAAGTTGGCTCTCAGCCTTTGCACATATTCAAGATCTGAGTTTTGTCATGCTTGAAGTCAGACTCGTCCTCAGCGCTATTGGCATCATCTATCTTGGTGCCCACGCTGCTCTTCGGCGACCCCCATCTGCACAACCTGCGAAGAAAAAGAAGCCTGGCTCTAAGGATGAAGATGAGGAGCGTTTTGCCCAGGGACTAGAGCCCTCCGATGCCATTATTTTCCCGCTTATGGCTGGTTGCGTCCTTGTTGGCCTGTACTACCTGATTCAGTGGCTCAAGGATCCTGACATCCTGAACAAAATTCTGCGCTGGTACATGTCTACCATGTCGGTTGCTAGTCTGGTATCGATCTATTCTCATGGTATTGAGGTAGTGACTAGCCTGGCGTTTCCACGATACTGGCGCGGCAGTGACGGGCGACTGAGGGAAGCGGATCAGAAGACAAGATCAGTACAAGTCTGCGATGATGCGGGAAACCCTGACGCGGCGATTCCTAAAACTCAAAGCCCATTTCCTGGAGCATTTGCTTGTTTGGCGTTCTCGGAGAAGATCCGCAAGTCTGGCTGGGAGCTTCGAGGCCTCCTTAAGCGACACTGGGCCATCAAGCTCTTCATCCATGGAATGGGTAAAGAGGAAGGCCGAGTCAAGTTTGCTCATGTAGTGTCCTTGGTTATGGCCTTAGTCACGGCGCTTGTTTATTCGTCAACTACATCCCCTTTGTTGAGCAATATGCTTGGCTACGCCATGTGCTATGGCTCCCTTCAACTCATCTCGCCAACAGATTTCTTGACTAGTACTTTGATTCTGGTTGGTCTATTCTTTTACGATATCATAATGGTATTTTACACGTGAGTTACATCATTGTTCTTGATATTGACCTCGAAGCTAAGTATTTTCAGTCCCTATATGGTTACAGTAGCAACCAAGTTGGACGTCCCAATCAAGCTCACTTTCGAGGCTGCAGAGCGTAAAAGTATTCTCGGACTGGGTGACATTGTTATTCCAGGCATGGTCATGGCCCTGGCCCTTCGCTTTGACCTCTGGCTCCATTATGATCGAAAGATCAAGTATGAGAGCACTGACCTGAAGCTGATTGAGAAGGATCCGACATCAGGCGCCCTTATCGTAAGAAGCGAGACCAAACACAAGGAGGTCAAGGCCAAGTACGTCAATGTCAAAGGTAAATGGGGAGATATCCTCTGGACACGTGGGGCTTTCTTTCTCTTCGGATCACAGCAGCTGCCCCCTGACTTGGCGGCTGCACGGTTTCGCAAGACGTACTTTCATGCCTCCGTCATGGGGTATCTACTCGGCATGCTGGTTACCTTGGCTATGCTCTTGATTTTCAAGCGTGGCCAGCCTGCATTGTTGTATCTTGTTCCTGGCGTTCTGGGGTCTCTGTGGCTGACAGGCCTGGTGCGTGGAGAAATCAAGCAGATGTGGAAATACACAGAAGACGGAAGCCTAGACAAGATTGATGTGGTTGTGGACTTGGATGGCGATGGCAACGCGATCAAGACCCTCGGCAAACTTGAAGATGGCGTCGTTGATACAACCAAGAAGGATGAAAAGAAGGATGGAGAGGATAAACCCAAGGATAAAGACGATGGCAAAGCAAAAGAAGGGGATAAGAGTGAAAGCAAGGAAGAACGCCATGTATTCTTGCTCTCGGTTGATGCTGAGTCAGAGACAGAATAGGCCGAGGTCTCATGGCCGTAGTTTTGGTAACGGGATCTGGGTGCAGTAGCAATGCCTCAGCCGAAGCCCAATACATAAAATACACGGGCGTCATAGAATAGACATTATCTGCTCAAAGCTTCCTCTATCAGTCCGGTTCTATATCCATTTGCGTCAAGGAACTTGTCACACATAAGCAATTGTCGCTTCGAAGCGACCGAGAGAAGGGGTTTTATCATCATCATTAACATTAATATTAATTCTGGACTGCTTTAAAATAAAATAAGAATCATTATCTCAGCGTCTCCGTATCCATCCACATCATACGCGTACCCCGTATTTCTTCAAAAACATAACCTCCTCGAGTCTGTATTAGTAGACATCGGCCACCACCAACATCCTTAATCCCCTGCACCGCGTAAAGGTTCAGACTCTTCGCAGGGGTGGTTCCATCCACTCAGATCCAAAGTAGTATGTGAATGCTTTTGCTTTGGTCTGGGCTTCCTCTGGGGTCTTGTTGTGCCCAACACTCGGCGTTAAGATGGGCGGGTGAATAGTGAAAACTCGAGCGTGTTGCATACTGAAATTGTATCTGATGTTCCCTTGGCTGAAGCTTTTGAAGAGTCCTTATTGTTTTGTTTTGTTTGGGTGACAAGAACTGGCTTTTGCAGATACAGTGGCTGGTGCAACACAACTCGTTTGGCTTGAGCCAAAAATAAAAATAAAAATAAAAATGGTAAAGTAGAAGATACTGCTATGCTGAGGGGGGGAAACGATCCAGCTCGAGCAGAAAAAGAAGCAACATAAGATAAGAATGGAAGTCTCCTCTTGGACATGAGCCGTGGTGGTTTAATGGCTGATCATGGTTGTGGTTGTCAAGGAGAGAAAAAAGTGCAGGATTAGTTCTCAAGAACGAAGAAAGGCATGAGAACCTGGAGAACATATTCAAAGCTCTTCTCATGGCCTCTTATTATACTTCATGTTCGTTGCAGTATGACAATGTTCCTCCGGCCCGTGTTTCGGCCGGCCCGTAATCAAGACCCCACCTCCGACAGGCCCGGTTTCGTCTTTTCGGCTTCCGAGTCTCACCTGTCTTGTCACAGTTTCGTCTCAACTATCTTTCAATACTCTGATACTCCATCACTTACTTCATATGGGTTTTTTCACTGGAAACCTGAAACGCTAGCTCTTCAGCATTCCAAGGCAATAGTTGTAGCAACGATGAGTCGGACCCAATCTTCACCCACGGTCATCCAATGGGTGATCGACACTCGTCCACTTTGGCCCTCCGCTCTCAAGACCAAAGACCTCACCTCCGCTGTAAGTGCTCTAGTCGTCCACTATAACCTGAGACTCATCTCATACCTTAGGCTTCACGTGCGCTCTCACTTCTCACCGCCGAGGAACAATCTTCTGTTCTGAGATACTACCACGTCCGCGATGCCAAGCTCGCTCTCGCTTCGGCTCTTCTTAAGCGCTACGCAATCTCTCGCTTCTGTCACGTCCCCTGGTTCCAGGCCAAGACTACTCGAGACGCTCGAACCAAGCCTGTCTTTGTCTTGCCAAGCGGTGATGAGCCGCTGATCTTCAACGTCTCGCATCAGGCTGGTCTCGCTGTTCTCCTGGCCGTTCACGATCCGCCAAAAGGCCTTACCGTGGGAGTTGATGTTGTGTGTCCATCAGAACGGCGAGATCGAGATCTGAGTAGTTTGGAAGAAGATGGGTGGGCTAGTTTCGTCGACATTCATGCCGATGTCTTTGGGGCAGGAGAAGTCTCAGCGCTTAAGAGCATAAACCCTGTTCCTACTGTTCAAGAACGAGATCGTGCATTGCGCTACTTTTATGCACTGTGGTGTCTCCGAGAAGCCTATGTCAAGATGACAGGGGATGCTCTTCTGGCAAGCTGGTTGAAAGACCTCGAGATGCAAAACTTTGCCCCGCCAGAAGATATGGGGAAACCCCAAGAGGTTCGGCTAAGAGGCAAGAAGGTTGAAGGCGTGGATGTGAGACTGATGCCGCTGCTCGAGGAATACATGATCTCCACAGCCGTAAGAAACGGTGATAACGGGGCGACTGTCGAGATCGGGGAGTTTCAAAGTCTCGATATAGAGGAAGTATTGGCATTTGGGGAAAAGGCATCCAAACAATGATTATAGCAAGGTTATGAATAATGAGAAATGCAAGCGCAATTATCTGACATCAGTGTTTCTTATTTCCTTTGGTCATTTCTCATAGTATAGATACATCGCGTCTCTCGATAAAAGACATCACATTTCCAACTTTAGAAGTTCTTACCGAAGAACTCAAGGACTGTCTTGTAGCCCCTCTCATACTCCTCCTTGACACGGCTGTCACTGAGATCGGCACGAGCAGCCATCCAGCCGTGGATCTGGTCCTTGAAGGTCTCTACGTGCTTAGCCACTTTGAGGTTGTCCTCAAACTTCTTGACCTCCTCATCAGGCTCCTCCTTGGATGCAAGAAGCATGGTAGGAACCGAGAGGCCCTCAGCATCAGAGGCGTCAACCATGGCGGGGTGGATCTGGGCCGCGATGGAGAAGGGGTTAGAGTCCGCTTTGACGCTGAGAGCAACGACCTTGCCGCCCCAGCAGTACTATTTAAACTTGTCAGTACTGAAACATAGCTGCAAACCAAACAGCACTTACTCCGATGATTCCGAATTTCTCAATGGAAGAGTCCTGGTCCTTGACAGCCTTTACGTAGTCGGGAACTTGGCCGGCAACCTTGGGGGGAGGGTATGTCCCAAAGAAGTCTCCAAGCTGCTTCTTCTTGTCATCATTGTCTGGAGGGTAGCTGATATCGAATTCGTGGTTAGTAATGCTCTGCATAGTCGTTGTTAAAACAGATGGGAACGTGAGCTCTTACATCTCAATGGGGCAGGGGCTGCCCTTGAACCAGTCAGGGATGAAGACCTTGTACTTCTGATGAGCATCACTGAAGGCGAGGATATCAGCTCCCTGAAGAGTCTGATCAAAGTATCCGAAGATGTCGTAGATCACGACAATGGCCTTCTTAGCGTCAACGGGGCCAGTAACATCTGCCCAAGTTAGTTGTTGTCTCTTCCTGTGCCAGGAGTCGTCTTACAAGTCTTATAGCCTCCGATCTCCTTGTAAGTTCCCTTTGCCTCATAACCCTTAGATACAACAGGTGGTATGTTGCAGCAGGCCTCGTTGTGGCCGTGAGATGCGGGCATGGTCGTCATGATGGATGAATTAGAATGACGATTGCTAGAGGCGCGCCTATTGAATAAGATCTCTGTTTAGCTGAGTCTCAGCAACGATGAAGGTCAAGTGTATCCGGCAAGAGAAGAATGACGACTTACAGGGCTAGTTCCGTAGCGGGCGAGAAAGAAAATTGTCGATAATGTGATTATAGAAGGTGACGGAATTAAAAGCGTTGATTCCTCGATTGCGGGGAGGAGGAGGAGGGGTGGGAGCTTGAATGGGGAAAGGACCAATGATGTCACGATTCACTCAGGAACAGCAAGCCGTCCACATCTCTTGAGATGGCAAGTTCTATCCTCTTCTCTTACCTCGTGCAATCACTTCAATTTCTTCAATTCATTTCCATGTATCTCAGGTTCAATGTTTCACGCTCAATTGAATTGTCTTTCAATTACGAATACATCATGTTCCCCTTCCTGCTCTAGACTACCTTAGTTGCCGGTCAGCGGCCCCAGCCGGCCCGGGTGGGGGAACATAACTAATAGATACGTACTGCAGACAGCAATACTCATCGTCATAATCTCGCAATAAGGCTAAAAATGACTCTGATATTGATCGATAAATTTCGATTTGTTTTGAATCCAAGACTTAAAAAGTGCTATCGCTTTGCTCTGAAATTTCATTCATCAGATTTCCGTTCCCTAAAAGGTGGTCATTACCAATCCAACGCTATCCCATAACACGATATAAGATATATCCTCAAGCCAAAGGCCAAAACACCGTTGTGCCTATGCAATTATGTACCAGAACTCCTTCTTATGCCATCTTTTTATTTACCCACCATGTTTGCGGTTGGTAATTCTGTCAGTCTCAGCCTGTTCCAGACAGTTTGAGATCAACTACATGATGCTCCCGTCTCTATTCCGCATATCACACTTGACCTTGGTCAACGCCAGCCTTCGTGAATTGACTTTTGGTTCAACATGGGCTGTAGCTGTTTTCCAGCCCTCTAAATGATGAAAATCATCTCACTGGGGAGTTCGGGCTGAGTCCTCCCATCCGTCGTACCACCACTTGCATCTTCTCAATGAGCTCCGGTATCCTGTATGGCTTTACCATAACATCGTCACACCCAGCTTGCTTGGCTTCCATAACCTGTTCCGGTCGTGCGTTGGCCGTAACAGCAATGATGGGAATGCGACCCCCAGACGCACAAAAGATTTCCCCCTCCGCTTCTAGCTCGCGAATGATCTGCGTGCATGTCAATCCATCCTGAATCGGCATCTCAATATCCATAAGAACGAGATTGATAGCTATAGGTAGCGGGTTCATGTTACTCCTCCCTGAGCGACTACTGCCTGCCTTGAGGCCTAGACCCGGGGCCACACCTTGCCTGCGTTTCAGCTTGTCGAGGGCTTCGATTCCATGATTAGCAACATCTACCATGTAGCCTCGATCTGTCAACCCGCGTCTCGTGATTTGCTGGTTAATCAGGTTGTCTTCAACAACAAGAATCCCATCAAGTCGAACGTTCCCTCCTGGATTTTGATGCTTCTGCAGGCGAATGTCTCGACAGGGTCGCTTGCCATCAGCTTCCGCACCGTCAGCACCGGCAATCAACCTGGCAGCAGCCGCGGCAGCCAGCGCTTCGTTCCGAGAGGCTTCACTTGGCACATAGGCCTCGATGTAGAACGCGAACGTTGATCCTACGCCAGGTTGACTGGAGACACCGATCGCACCGTTCTGGAGTTCTGTCAAGCGTCTGGAAATGAACAACCCAAGTCCTGAGCCGCCGTATTTGGTGTGTGTCTTGGCGCTCGCTTGAACGAACTTATTGAAGAGGCTACCCATCTCTTCCACCGTCAAACCTTGACCCGTATCTTTTACCTCAAACAACAGATACACAGGACGAGTACGTCCCTTGAGCGCGGGTTGGTCGTATTCCTCTGAGACATCACAGAATCGGGGAATAAATTGCACCACTGTCATGGCTTCTCCTGGTGGTTCCAGCGACCCTTTCATCCCGACAGTGACATTCCGGGTGGTGCCAGACTTGGTGAACTTCAAGGCATTCGTGAGGAGATTGATCAAGACTTGCTGAACTCTACTTGGGTCCAAGTCAAGATAGTCGTATGCGAGATCCTTATACGACTTGTCGACATAAGAGGTCAACTCGATATCTACACGGCGAGCCTCCACCTCAAACATCTTGAGAGCGCCGTTCACAATCTGGATCGGATCCACCGTGCAGGGCGTTACGGCTAGTAACTTGGAGTCAAGTTTAGACATTGTGAGTATATCATCAACTATGCGCTTCTGGTGTTGAGCGCACGTCACAATGGTCTCGGCATTTTCAATGCTGTCCTCCAAAAGCTTCTTCTCCTCAACAGATCTTTCGCCAATACTTCTCTCATCACCTTGAGAGCCGTTTTGTGTTGGTGTAAGAGGTGCGGAATTGTCACTGATGTCTTGCACTCTCGCAAGAGAGGCAATGATTGCGTCGGTACAGTGAAGGATAGCGCTTAATGGGTTCCGCATCTCGTGTGAAGTCATGTCGATAAAATTTTCCTGCTGGCGCTTGGACTCGATTGCCTCTTCTTTGCGAAGCTTCTCCTGCTCCAATTGCCATTTCTGTATTGAAACGTCGCTCAGACAGCCGGTAAAAGATTGAATCACGCCGTCAGAGCTTCTGACTGGCATGAAAGTAGCAAGCACCCATCGCGGGGCCACAGATGAATTCCCGTTGCTGTCCTCTGTCACCCAGCCGTTGCGGAGTCGAAACTCGGCCGTTTCAGTTCGTCCTGATTCAACCAGTCGATCGAGGCTTTCCTGTAGGATATGCAAATCTTCCTTCACAACACATTCTGGCCAAGGTCTCACGTCGGTCTTGGTGAGATCGACCTTCTCCAAATCTGTCAATTCCCAGAAAAGATTGTTCGCGCTGAGCAGTCTTCCATCCATGCTGACATCGTACATTCCAACTGTGGCAAACTCGGCAAGACGCTTTAGGTTCTCTGCTTCTTGTGCCCGGCGGACCGCCTCCTCGGCCGTGTCTTTTTGTACCGTTACGTCAGTCAGGCAAGTAAGAATTCGAATGACACTGCCATCTGGAGCTCTTTCGGCCTTTGTAGAAGCCAGAATATGACGCGAGACTCTTTCGTCGATTGAAGATAAAGGACCTGTAGAAGATTTGAAGCTTTTCGGCCCTGTTGTGTTCTCGTTCCGGGCGATGCGGTATTCGAAAGTAACAGTGTCGACTTTCTGGACGTCTTTATATGCTTGTATAACTTTTTGTTTATCTTCCTCGAGCACTGACTCAAGCAGTGCGCTTTGCACGATTGAGCCTTTTGGACATCCGGTCATACGATGCCAGGCATCATTGGCAAAGGTGATATTACCCTCGACGTCGACAAAGCACATACCTACGGGGATAAAGTCTGCAACTGCGGTAAACGTTTGCATGTATCTCTCTGCCTGTTCAGTTTGGTACTCTAGTCGCTGCGTAAGCATAGCATTATCATAGGCAGCCTGCTCAGTAATGTTGCGACGCCGCCGGGCCTCCTCTTCCAAGAGAACTGTGGAAGCAAGAGAGCTCGTAAGCTTTTGGCTCAACAAAGATATGAACTGCCGATAATCGTTGTCGTATGGGCGTCGAGGATTCAAGCCCAAGAATAGAATACCCATAACGTTTTCTTCTTTAGTTGGACGAATAGGCAACACAATGGCAGCCTGGCAAGGGTCGCCGAAGCCACGCCATGCTAAACCGTGTAATAGGTCTTTTGGCAATGTGCCGTTCTTCGTCTGCAAAAGAATTGGTTGGCGCTGATCCAGTGACTTCCTCATGATAGAAGCCATCCCCTTGTCTGTTTCCCCAAGGTTGAGGACTTGGGGAGCAATAACATGTCCTTCTGGTACACCGAGCGAGCCCTCTAGACGGCAAATCTTAGAGCAATCATAATTTGAAAGTGTGGTGTCGGTCGTGTCGTCTGCCACTGAGTACAAAAAGGCTAGTGGGACATCGTAGGTTGGGCTCCAGCGTTCCAGTTCCTCAATCGTCCTGGACCAGTACGACTTGGCATCCTTTGTAGAGACCAGGGCCTCGCCGAGATCAATAAGCATTTTCATTCTCCGCTCCCAAAGCCGTCTTGAGGTCATTTCGAGTAGCGAGTGCTGGATTCCGAGGCATTTCTTGTCGTAGACAATGGGAACCATAGAAGACTTGACATATGTCTCTTCATGTGAGCCGTCTGTTAAGGGGACGAAAAATTTGGACTCATCCTCAGCATTCGAATAGTTCTTCAATGGCGAAGCCGTCATTTCATCGAGTCTAGTTTTGAGGTGAGGCCAAGCTTCAGGTGCTGGTCGTCCTAAAAATGCAGGATGTCGAGCGCCGCAGTATTTTGAGAAGGCTTCATTGTAGATCGTGATGTACTCGGGACCCCAATAGAGCGCCACTGGTCGCGAATCTGAAACGAGTTGGTTAAACGTATGCTGAAGTTGAGCGGGCCAATCTGACATGGGGCCCAAAGATGTCGACTCCCAATCCACATTTTGGACTACGTCAAGAAATGGCTCTGCTTCGGAGTCGGAAACAGGAATCATAAGTCCTGGGTTTGATTCATCGCGATAAAGCAACGGAGTTTTGCTCTCCGACTTTTTTCGGGACGGTAAACGCGCATTGTCCAGTGGGGATTTTTGGGGGTATTTTCTAGTTGTCTCGCCTTCCTTTCCTTCTATTCGAACTTTGCGCGGGGCTCTGACGAAGGAGGCGTTTCGTTCCCACTCATCACCACCCATTGACCCAGAACTATGCTTCGTGTCCAGTAAACACCAAGATACGGGAGCGAGTGTTGCGTATTTGTTGGTGCAGGACCTGTGGCATCTGTTTGAGTCGTTGGCGCAGATGGTGGGCTGGTGACCCAATTCCAGAACGGCGAGTGGGAATCATCTTGAGGGATAGAGGCAATGGAGTGGTCGAGGGTATAAGAGTTTTGCAAGGCAGGATTTCGGTACAGGATGTCGGCTGAACAATGGGTCTTGGAGGGTGTCTGCTCGGGTAATGCAACGACGAATGTTGGTCGAGGGTCAGAAGCGACGAGGTCGATAAGACCGAGGTGTTGAAGAGCTGGGGGCGGCATTGAGCAGTATGGTCATGCCAAAGCCCAAATGATGAGATTGCGAGGGCTGGAAGAAGTTGATAAGGCCCGGCAGCTACTGAGAAAGTGGACGACGAGCGCCCTAAGATCGAGAGATAGGTGAGGTATTGGTCGTATTTTGTGTCGTCATTGCAGTCGCAAACTGGAGGGGCCACAAGGTGAGATCTCAGTGATGATCGAGGTCGTCGAAGTCGCACGCGATCGGTGACATGTAATTGGAAGCGAAAAGAAAAGCCCGGGTCCGTTCAGCCCAGAGAAGAATATGAAGCCATCGTCTTGTCTTGGTCGGGAAGAAATTGAATGGGTACGGGCGTGTTATGTTGGTGCTGGTTGGTACGGGACAGGAGGTTCTGAATCGCCAGCGCCAGGTAGGTGCTAGGATTGGGGATCTGCTGTAAGCCTGTAATGTGCGTCGGTGGGGTATCTTATGCCTTGCGCCCTGTTGTAGAAGAAGCCTAAGTGGATGGACACGTTTGTTAGCGGGTGATGAACGATGAATGACAAAACTTTAGTGGCTTTTTCACCAAAGAGGAACGGTCATTTTAGTGGCTGTCTCCACTACAGTACCTACTTCTTGGTTCTTGGCCGGTCGGTGAATTCCTGAAATCCAAGTTCCAAATCAAGCTTCGATTTCTTCTTACTCATATGACACTGAATAAGAGCCGCTCCATGCGATACTCTCCATAGTGAAACTCTTATGCAAACACATCTGTCTGGTACTGCAAATAGATCAGGAGGACCTCACCGTAGGTCTTCGGACTCGCCTGAAATAAACCCCTTACAGATCACACACGCTAAGACGCGCCATGCACTCTACTGGAGATCAAGTAGAGATGGGGGCTGGGGTTTGAGAGGCTAAGCAATAATTGCCCCGGCGGCCTATGAAAACCAGCATCATTGAAAGGCGCGCCATGGGCAAAAAGAGAAGGAGGAAGAGAGGCCATCCCGCAAATGGAACCGATTATCTGGCATACATTGTTGGGATGGCAATGTCTGGGAGATGGTGTCGAAAGTGACCGAAAGTGAAAGTTGCCGGTGCCATGACTCGAAGATGTTTCAACTGAGCGAATTTCCTAATAGAAATTCGATGAGACAAAAACCCCCACAGAGATCCTGGCCCATAACTGTTTCAAGGATTCAGCCAAGCACAATATTGTCATGTTGAATGCGATGAATCAAAACGCTCTCAACTTGTAGACTTGCCATCGCGACAAAGAAGATGTCGATTATCAGATACACATCAGAAGAGCCAGCAGCGGGCATTGCAGTCGCAAGACGGACAAAGCCAACTTGAGGATGAGGATAGCCGAAAAGCATGCAGTTGCATCTCGCTAACTGCGATCCTTGATTCGCTGCATCGACACTAGGTATGTGTTTTTTGATACAAAACGGAACTATGTGCGTATAGCGCAACGCCACGGCATGGAGCTTATGGAGGCAAAACTACCTAGACTAACACTCAGCCGTCATTACTGCAGCGCTAAAAGCACTACAGCCATGAGCTGTCCGTGTTGGAAGCCATCTTCGTACCGGCAAATTTGAGGTCGGGATAAATCAGAGGCACGTTATAATATGCACAGCCGATGCCTTGGCATGCCTGCACCCACCGATCTCGGAATTTGTCTCACATGGGCATGGGCATCAATCCGATCGATCAATGATGGATGGTGAGTGAGTTTACTAGCTTTTCGGGTGACAACTGTCATCCTCGTGCACATTGCTTATCCTACCTGTTTGAGTTTGGCTCGCACTCGGGTGCTTGCGCATCTCCCGAACTCACCAAGCTCTCGGTACCGTGCTAGTCAACGAACTTCAGTCCCAGTCCCAAGTTGGACTTGGCCGCTGCTAGGAAATGCTGGTATCTCAAGTAGGTAGGGGAAGTCCGCGATAACCTGGCCCACCACAGGCGCAAAGGTTCCATGGATGAATGCTACGTATTCCAGTTGTTGGGTTCCTAAATTTGCAGCAGAGACACGTATAACACCAAGGCAGAGATGTAATTTTGGAGGTAAGCAGAGCCTCTGGTTTTGAATACGAGTCGCGATCGCTTCCAATCCTTGGCAAGTCCGTGGACCAACATCCAATATTCAGCAGTCTCGGGGCTTGGTCTGTCAAATTCCTTGGCAAGATCTCTTGGTAATCCTAATCAGATCTCGCCTTCCAGTTTAATGGTTGGTACTTGCCTTGGCAACTATCTCCCGGTCGATAGGCACCTTGCCTGAGGTATACCTACTCCACGATGGCTTCTGCGTGGCGCGTTTAGAGCAGGTACAGTATCAAGCCGGTGCCTGGCCCAACAACCTGGCTCCTGGGTCTTTAATTGTCCGATGGGCGTCACTGGTTCCTGCTTGACACTTCACTGAACCAAGCCTTCCAAGCCCGACGTAGTGGATATCACATTCAATTGCTCTAGATACTATCCTTCACTTCAACTATACAAGACTCCATTGAGGACTATCTCTCATTCATCGTTCTGAAGTCGATTACTACAATCTTTACGATTACAAGACCAGCACCAGTTTACGAAAATTCCTTTCCATCATCATCTTTCACTTTCATTCTACCACGATGTGCAAGTGCTTCACCATCGACACCCACGGTGTCCGTGAGCACCATCTTTTAACTCACAATGGCCTTTCGATTACGGGGCGGGCATAGTACGTCTGCCCCGTCTATGAACGCTATCATGCCATATGGACATCTAAACCTGTTGTTCAGCCTTTCTGTGGGATTGTGCCGCCATTTTCTTCTACAAGCATCCTTTTGCCTTTTGGATCCATCCACAAGACCTCAAGGCTTCCACAATCGAACTTGCTTCAATGGCAGATGAGAGCATGGGATCATCTATAAATGCAGCCAACGATACTCTCGACCGGGTTGCCCATATACCGAATCCTAACATCTTTCTGGATATGCCCGACCACGATGTGCTACCTTCCACCGATGTTACGTATCGAGGGTTATCAACTACCTTGATTGAACATCCTCGCATACCGACTATGTTTCTTCTGGAGTTCATAACATTCGATGGCCTTCGGGCTTACCAGCCATGCTGTGAGAACATTGATCTCCCCAACATCTTCAGACCATTGCGCGCTATTGAAGATGATAGCGATCCAGTTTTCGAGGCAACTCGTGAATGGTCATGCATCATCCAAGCCCGCCAACACCTACTCAAGGATGTCAGACAGATTCTGGCACTTGTCTACAGCTTTTCCTGTAGAGCGTTGCAGCCCGGACAAACTGAAGAATACATCTAGAAGATGTGGCCTTGGCTTATGCATTGGTATCCAGTTGCCGACAACCTTTTCACAAAGTTTGATGTTTTTGCCACGACACCAGAATCAGATTGGTTCATGAGACCTCGAGCGCGCCCCAGATCACCGTCGAGACCAGCCAAGCAGGTTGAAAGCACGGCAGGACACCCGTCATCCCCCATATCTAATCTCGTAGTGAACTCAGAAGCGGACGATACAGACCGTCTAATCGCGCCAATACCCTTGAGTATATTCAACCGGTCTAGCCGTCCATCTCAAGCCATTGAGATCAATACCGATGGTCAAGCAGCCGTATTCGACCCAACTCCAGGTAGCCGAGTATTCACTTCCCAGGGACGTCTTGGTAGTGCAAGCACCAGTGGTGTTTCAAGGCCGTGGTTTCGGTACAACCATATTGTTGAAGGGTCATCAGCTCTCGGTGTTACAGACACAACTTCTTTTCGACCCAATCCTTTAGCCGAGCAATTTGTGCCTCTGGAGGAATTCTATGAGGAAGATTTGTTTGAATCTGCCAGTGACTCCTCCTGCTCGGTCTGCGAATCGCTATTGATTAAGAAGACGAGAATGTATCATCAGAAGCACAGTCTGACCCTTTGGAATTGGCATGACTACGAGAAGTTCTTTCAGTGGGTAGTTTGAGGCATTTGGAGGCCTGCGGTTGAGAATTTGATATGCAAGCGTAGCGAATGAATAGCGACCGAATATGTAGAACAAGTTTTATTTCAGGTTTAAAGGTTACCTTCATGCTCATGTTCTGTCACCTCCTTTTAGACCAAAAATACCCATTGAGAATTTCTTGGTATTCCATGAATACTCGACTGAGTTATTGTCCGGCTGTATGCTTCGGCTCAGCCCGAGCCTATTGCTGAAGCCTATATCGCTATGATTTACTGGGCAGCAACTAGACTCATATAAATTCCCCACACGACACCAGCCAACGCACCCACGAGATTGCGTCCCTCAACGGTCTTGACAGCAGCAAAGTTGACGATGCTGACAGCAGGCCAAAGTTTCCAGCCGGCAAATATAAGGGGAGCAAAATCGACCTTGGCAGCCTCCCAGACGGCTGTCCAGTCAACACGTCCAAAGTCCAGAGTGCCTGGCGAAGTCCAATACGTGATGGCCTTGGTGAGACTGGTGATGACGGGAGCGGGTTGGATAGCTGAGCGTAGAGCATGGGTGTACGTGCTAAAGAGCAAGGTATTCACAGCAGCACCAACAGTCTGGTCGAGAAAGAATTTAATAAGTGTGTTCCGGATGGAGAGTTTGGGTTGAGTCTTTTTAGCATCCTTAGAGTCCTTAGATTTGGAGACATTATCAGGATGAGCGGGAAATGTCGATTCAAGATAATCTTGCCTGGAACATGTCAGTCTGAAGGTTCCTAAGGAAAGAAGAAGCATACCAGTAGAAGTTGGGTGGTGTACAAATAACGTTAAAGAGGAGGAACTGAAATACAGGAATCCAGTCTATCACAATATCGTTCTAAGATGAGGATAGTCAATACCAGTATTCGAACAACTCAAGGCATATGTAAATACCAGATTTACCCCAGCTCTGTAGGCCGAGATGCCTTGGGCCAAGATATTGGCGATGCCGCCCAAAGCAGCACTCTGAATGGTGGCCATAACCACAGGAGGGTAGTCCATTTTCGTTATTTACTGTACGGAAACTCAGGGGGTCCTGTGGATGGAAAGAGAAGACGATGTTGAAGGAGTCGATGAGAATAGAGACGTGTTAAGTTGAGACAGTGAGATCGGCGCTAAGATAGGCGAGCCAAGATTTTTGAAGAAACTCTACCCAAGTACTGAAAGTGCTGGGTTGTTTTCAAAGGTACTCGAGTTGGGTTGTATACTTAGTGAAAGCAGCTCGTGAAAGCGATGTATTCTTTAGTGAAACAGGGACACGAATGAATCATTCAAGAAGATGTGTGGAGAGAGGTGTAGTTTGATGCGTGCCCTGTTTGATTGGTCAATATCAACTACACACTCACTTTCAATATAGACATGCATGTGAGGCAGCCGCTCATGGATTGACCTTGAGCGAAAATCATTGGTGTCTATAGCTAATGGTTTGAATAGATTAAATCATTGATTTTATGCTTCGTCGTGCAGATCAAGCTGTTATCATACATCCCCAGTCATCCCTCATTACCGTCTCCGCCCCATCATTGACCAACGTTTATATTCCCCAAAAGCCTGAGCCCTTTTGAGCGCGATGCAGATATCCTAGACACAACAACTAATTCACGTATGACCTATTCGCTCATTATGCCCTGGTGAGAAGCCACATGAAGAAGAGCTGCACAAAGTAGGAGTAGATGAAAAGAAACTTTGTGCGCTGGCTGCGTTTCGCCCGTGAGTCCGTCTGCATTGGCCCGCTGGAGCCGGCAGATGTTTCGGGCAGGAGGACATATTTGAGTGATCGCATCTAAGCAAATAGTTAGCAGGTGTGAGTTTGCATTGCCAGCTGATCATGCAACTTACCAAAAAGAGCGAGTTTGCGAGGTAGGTGTAGAAAAAGACCAACCAGCCAACCCAGCCACCTGTACCCTTGCCGCCGTTAAGGATCTCGGCAACGACGATAGTGACAATAATTCCGACAAACTTGTACCCAGAATAGGCAATCAAGTCAAGGAGTTGGGATTGGCTAGAGATGCTCAGGAGGTAGCATCCCAACTTCAGGAAGAAGATCTCAACGATGACAACAATAAGACTAACTGTAGCTGTCTTTCCAAGAAGCTCTGGTTGGAATTGGTTGTTTAGACCAGCGATCAGCGTCGAGAGGAGAATGTATGTCACAAGTGCCATAACTGTATCACAATTAGCCAACTCATCCTACTCTGACGGTCTCCAACCTTGCATTGCACACCTGGAATATACATATCGGGACTGTTGATGTCTTCTCGTGGAGGCAGATACCAGCCCTCTTGTCCATTCTGCCCAACAGCTTGCTTACGAGACCAAGGCTTGTGCCTCCAGGGGAAAAGGACGAGGAAGAGTTTATTGACGACGTATGAGTTGGAGACATTAAAGTAATGCTTGAGGGCAGAGACATTGACGTATCGACCAAACTATCATGGCAATTAGTACCAGGTACCACAACGGCCACCGCGTTGCTAGTAGGACTCACGTTCTGCTCCATATACTCCTGTCCATGCTTAAAGGCCGTCTGTCCAAATTGCGCCGCCACCTGCGCTGTAGGGTCGTTCATGAAGTTGCCATATTGGCCAAAGACGTTGCCGCTGGTGCCTCCCTGCTGCTGATATGGATTTCCTCCCGCATTGGCAGCGTAGCCTTGCTGTGACTGCGCAGAGCCTGGAGGCGGAGGCGGCGATCTTAATTGAGGGACGGTCGACACATGCTGGGGAACTGGATGGTGAAGGGGAGGCGACTGCGCATATGTCGCTCGCTGCATGACGGAGGAGAGTGCCTATTCTTTATGCGCTGGGTGCTATTCTGGATTTCTGAGCCGTTTCGAGGTATCGAGTTGAGGTGAGTTGGTGATAACTGATGACGAGATTGAACGTAAAGCTGGTGTTTGTTCAGTTCCTGGTGGTAGGTCAAGTTCAGGAAATGTGTCGAATTCGTCTGATTGGGCGCTAGCATCATGGAGAGCTCCAGCCTGGCAACCTCCACTGCCAAAGTTAGGGAGCTCAACGTCAGCCCCTGTTTGCCTTTCTATAGGGAACACGTGATTGTTTCGATATCTAATTCAACATGGAGGCAGAGATACCTGGGTTATTCAGATTGAGTTTAAATAATTATATGAGATTACCACTATTGAGAAATAAAATACTCTCCGTTCACCCGATTCATATTGTCATGTTCACCTCTGTACCCTCAGTTGATCGTAACTTCACTGCTCCTAGGGTTGGATTTTCTTCCCCAAGGAAGGCCTAGGCCCAAACGGCGTGTCCGGGGGTTGAGTCCCTGTCCTTTATTTTTGATGTGCAGTGGTTTTATCTTATCTTTAACTAGACTTACCCATTAGTCTGCGCTCCCACTCTGTGCTCTACAGTAGCCACATCTACCAACGAATATTCGCCTCCCCTTTGGCTTGCGCCTTAATTCTCCCACCAGCATCATCATTTCTCTTCTCTAACTTTCGAGAGAGATACTCGCAAAATGTTGGATTCCTTCGAAATATTAACCACCTCAGGCGTGGTCGTTTGGTCACGCACTTATACTCCCATCAACCCTTCCATCATCAACAACTTCATCGCAGACACTTTTATCGAGGAGAAGAGTGGCGCTATTGCCCTCAGCGACTCAAGGTCCGCGGCCGTTAATACTCCGTACAAGAGTGATCAACATACTCTCAAATGGACTCTGGTTAAGGAATTGGGCGTTATCTTCGTCGTGAGTCCTGAGTCTTACTTGTCATGATGGCTTCTCCCCCGGTCCTCGGCGCTGACGTCCCCACTCCCTCTTTAGGCCGTCTACCGGTCCCTCCTCCACCTCTCATGGGTTGACAAGCTCGTTGATAATATCAAAACTATCTTCGTTAAGCTCTACGGTGAACAATTGACCAAGCCGCATACCACCCTCGTTGAATGCCACGCCTTCGATGAATACTTCGACATACAACTCGAGGAGCTTGACCAGACTAGTACTAAGGTTCTCTCCACTACCATCACGGCTGGCGCAGTCCCATTAGAAGAAGAAATCATCTCAGGAAACACCGGCGACAACCCCCCCGTTGCGCCAGGCCTAACATATCGAGGGCGCCACCTCAATGGGCCTCAGGATGCCCTTTCGGCCGACGAGTCAACCCCCGCTTTGACCCCGAACGGATCGCGACCCGGAACACCGAACAATCACCTCCTTGTCGCAAAGGGTGGTCCTATCGCAAAGATATCTCGGCGCGCTCGCAAGGCGAAGAACCAGACATCAGGCCCCGTGTCTTCCGGTGACGAAGCGCCGCGAAAGAAGAAGGCAGTCGCCAAGAAAGGGCGCAAATGGGACGCAGATGGCTTCGCAGATGAGGAAGACGATGTCCAGCTTGATTATTCCGCAAAGGCGCATGCTACCAGCGACTCTGAGGTTGAGGCAATGGGACGATCAACAGCTGTGGATGAGATTGATTCCAACACATGGGGCTCAACATCGAAAGGCAAGTTCGTGCTCAAGGATCTTGGTGATGAGGTGCATGGGATCCTAGCTTCAGAAGCAGAGAAAGCAGCGGCAGCAAAAACACAAACCAGATCTGGCCTCCTGGGGTCAGGCGTCAGCGCTATTAGCGGTCTTTTCCGCAACGTTGTTGGAGGCAAGACATTGACTAAGGAGGATCTCGACAAGGCTATGAAGGGTATGGAGGAGCACTTGCTTCAGAAGAACGTGGCACGAGAGGCTGCTGTCCGGCTATGCGAAGGTGTTGAGAAGGAACTGCTTGGTGTCAAGACTGGCAGTTTCGAGAGTATGTTCACTATCCGGCATCATGTCCTGTTGGCTTCATTCTGACCAGTTTCGCAGGCATCAACGCCAGAATTCAAGCCGCCATGGAGGCCTCGCTCACAAAAATGCTCACCCCGACATCATCCCTCGATCTTCTCCGCGAAATTGACGCTATCACGGCTCCTCCGGTGACATCTCTTCGCAAGGCTCGTCCCTACGTTATGTCAATTGTCGGCGTCAACGGCG